TGACTGAAAGAAATAAGAAAACAGCATTGATTTTATTTTGGTGTAGTTCCTAACTTATTCTCATTATATTCAAAAAGGTAGTAGCAGGCTTCATGATCATGAGACTCATAACACATTTTCTACTTTTTATAATTCTATCTCAAAAGTTCTGACTCCTTATAATTTGATTAATCTTTGTATCAAGTCAGGCCCTCACAGTAAGACCCTGCCTCAAAATAGAATTGTTTCAAAATGTTCATTTATTTTTTTTCTCTCCTGCAGCTGAATCATCTATTGTCAGTCTTGTCCCCTACTACAATGGTACTCCAGGCAAGATTTTTAAAAAACTTTAAACCTAGATGTAGTTCAATTTGTTGTTTTTGCTTTAATTATACCATTGTATTGTTTTTCTCCTTGTGGCAAAAGAGGTAAAAGCTACAAAGCTCAATTGTAAGAATTTTTCTGAAGCAAGTGGAAATTAATAACAATATGAATATAAGAAATGGTGTTGAAGATTTCCATCTCTCAATTAATTTCTGAATCCATTGAGTAATCTCATATAATTCAATACTCAAAAACAAAGACAAAACCTGTTACCGTATGAGAATGTCCCTTCTGGTTAATTGATCAATTTCTTATGATCATGAAAGTAAGATATCCCTCTACCACTGCAACTGTTCTAGAAAGGAAGAGAAATATTGATTGCATTTTAAGTAGTCTATTTCTCTTGCTCTCCAACACAATGCCAGCAAGTTTGACATGAGTGATGGTTTAAATGTGAAAAGCACATCTAGTGACTTCATGATTCAGCATGGATGTGGAGGCACAGGGTGTCCAAGAACAGCCTTTTTACAGATAATATTTATCAAATTTTAAATATTTTATTACTTTTATTTTATATGTATACGTGTATTGCCTGCATGTAGGTAAGTGCACCCATGTCGTGCAATGCCTGCGGAGGACAGAAGAGGCTGTCGGATCCCCTGGAACTGGAGTTACAGATAGTTGTTACTTGCTATGTGGGTGCTGGGATTCGAACTTGGGTCTTCTGCAGGAATAGTCAGTGCTCTTAACCACTGAGCCATCTCTCCAGCCCATATTTATCATTTTTTTTTATCTTTTTGAGACAGGGTCTCCCTGTAGCCCCAGCTGTCCTGGAATTCACTGTGTAGACCAGGCTGGCCTTGAACTCACAGAGATCCGCCTGCCTCTGCCTCTCAAGTGCTGGGATTAAAGGCATACACCACCATGCCCAGCTATTTATCAATTTTCAAATTGCATGAAATGGGCGAAAAACTGGCTTCTCATCATCTTAGAGAAAAGGACATAGAATTTCACTATATCCCAGACAAGTAGAGAGCAACACATTCTGTCCCCTCCCCTTCGGGAACAGATGGCCTTTTATCTTACTATGGTCAAACCCCAACGCCTTCTAGAATCTCTTAGTTAAAATAAAATTCTACCATGTGATTGGTAGTTAAGAAGCTAAATAATCGTAGATGTAGTTCACACCAATTGAATCTGGTTTAAATTTATATTTGGTCCAATGGGAAAAGCCAACAGTTATCATTTTTATGTGTAATTTCTTTGTACAATGAAAGGATTATCTCCAGTTTAGCTTTGGCAGCACTTTATTATGTTGTGGATGTGTGTGGTAGTATATATAGACATATTTTAAGTGTGATAATGTATGATGTTTGTTTAGTTGTTTGCTGGTTTGTTTTTTGAGGTGAGTTCTCACTATGTATCCCAGGCTGGCCTCAAACTCATGAGGCCCAGCCTCAGCCTCCTGAGTGTCAGGATTCTAGGCATGTGCCACTATGCCTGGCTTATGCCCTTTTCCCTAAAATTTCATCTATGATAATAAATTCTAGAATGCTTTTTAAAGAAATACCAATACAACATTTTTAATTGTATTTTATATCAATATGATCAAAGTGAAAATTTCCTAAAAGTTGGTAATGTTTAAGAACTCTGATATTAAACTAGAATTATTTAAATTTCATTTATAAGAAAGGTACTATGGCTAGTGGTGGATGCCTTTAATTCCAGCACTTAGGAGGCAGAGGCAATTGTGAGATTGAGGCCAACCTGAGATGGTCTGTATAATGAGATCCAGGCCAGCTGGGGCTATATAGTGAGATCCTGTCTCAAAAAACAAAACGAGATAAAACAACAACAACAACAACAACAACAACAACAAAAAAGAATGTATCACTGGTAAAGATGTACTAACCATCTTCAGGACAATTAAAGTTGTTATTCGTGTTAGAAAGTTTATATCCAATAGGGACTTCTCACTAACACAGAGGGAAAGGGAACAGAATATTTCTTCTTTTTAAAGTATTTTTATTAATTCTTTGAGAATTTCATAATATATAATTTGTTCATATTCACCCTACTCCTACCCCTAATTCCTCCCAGATCCATCCCACCTTCCCAACCCCTCCCCTCCCAACTTCATATCCTCTACTTTTTAATAACCCATTGAATCTAATTTATGCTCCCCATATACTCATGGGTATAGGGCTACCCACTAGAGCATGGTGGACCTACCAAGGCCACACCCTTAAAGAACACTCTTGGGACTACAGAGATGGCTCAGTAGTTAACAGCACTGGCTAATCTTCCAGAGGAGCAGGGTTCAGTTCCCAGCACCCACATGGCAGCTAACAACTGTCTGAAACTCCAGTTCCAAGGGATCTGACACCCATGGCATTGCACAGCACAGGTGCACTTACACGCTTGCAAGCAATACACTCATACACATAAAATAAAAATAAAAAATAAATATTTGTAAAAGAAAATGGACTCTCCCACCCCTAGAAACCATCAACTGTCAATGGCTACTCAGCTAGGAGCCTGTGAACCTCTTCCCCATCCGTGATGGAATTTTGGCTGTTTTGATTTTGTGCAGGTCTTGTGGAGGCAACTACAGCAGCTGTGAGTTTATAAGTACAGCAGTCCTGTCATGTCCAGAAGATAGTATTTCCTTCCTATCCTCTCCAAACTCTGGCTCTTACAATTTTTTGGTCCCTTCTTCCATGATGGAACAAAATATTAAATAATACGAATGAGTATATTTAATTCTAATAAATATTAAAAAGTGCTGCTATGTGTTATGCACATAAATAGCATTCAGGAAGCACATCTTGAAAGAATGAATGTGTGCTCAACAGTTATTTATGGGACTGGAGAATTGGTCGTGGAGAAGGGATGGGTTAGACAGTGCATTCACTAGTACCAGCTAGCTCTTGCAAAACTCTCTAACTTCTAGAAGGGAAAAGTGAAGTGTTTAAGGACTCTGGGAAGACTCACATTTATTAACCATGCCAGTAATTGCATTATTTTTTATTCATTCAGATGCTACTTCAGAAGTATTATCTACTTTAAACAAAACAGGTAATATCACATTATTTCCAAATGTCATAACTTGTCTTCTGTGGCTTCTTAAGTTTCTCATACATGTTATCTATTGGGGTAGAAAAGAAACAATATTCTTTTGTTTCTTTGCATACTTTCCTTTGTGTTCACTATTGATTTATTTTGCTTTTGACTGTGTCACCAAGCTATCATTCTATTGTTACCACATTCCTAAACTTCCTAACTATTATGGCCATAGTTCTCTATTTAAAATAACGTTTGTTATTTTCTGTATAATATAACAATACATTTGAGCTCATAAAATGGAGAATATAGGGAAATACAAAGAAGAAAATATAAATCATCTTTAATGTTACTTTACCAAAATTATTACTGTTAATAAATTGGTATATTTTCATCTGGTATCATATATACATGTATTTATGTATATATACTATGTCTATATCTTTTTCAAAATGGTCATAATTTATATAGATTTTATATCTTTCTCTTCAGACTTAATATTAAATTATAAGTATTTCCCAGGCTCCCTTGCTATCAATGACTTGATGATAATCCATTGTACACCATATGTTGAACATTAAAATTGTTTGTATTTTTAATAGAAGTTGTTGCAAAGAACATCCTGATGCCATCCTGAATGCCATCTTTGAATTTATTGTTGATTTCTGTAGGGTACATTCCTAGGACTGGATATAATGGGTCAGCAATATGACTATTTTAAGGCCCTTCATACCTGCTGCCCCATAACTATCTAGGAAAATTATATTCAGCAACAGTCCTACCAGCAGTGAATGAAAATGGCTGTCACTATACATTTGCTGAGACTGCATTGCATATTAACAAACCTTGCTCTCAATTCCTTAGGTTTTATTTTTCATTCTTATTAGTGAAGTTTAATATTTTTCTGGTTTTAAGTCCTACAACCAAAAGTTCATTTCACAATTGTGTTTTGTTTACTATGGAAAGGAAAATAGCAAGTCAAACGAAATAATATATTTAAAGGATTGTTAATGATAATGCAAAATGGTATCCACCTCTATAATTACCACCAACCATTGCCCATGAATCATACACTGAAATGAATTCATCGGTAACACACACAAAGGTTTCTGAAAATATCCATATAATATCGTTGTTCTTCATTGTGTCGCCAAGCTCTAAGAATAGTCTTTGCTTCAGAATTTGCCCATCTGCCTTAGGAGACAAAATTGCTTTACAAATCTGTGCCCTGAATGGGGCAATCCTTACAGCAAGGATTTCTGAACCTGATTCTCCATCATCTGTGGGATGGACCAGGGACTTTGCCTCCAAATTGCTTTGGAAAGATATTCCTAAGGTTTGCTTTTACAGAACATATTAGTAGCTGTCTGAGAGTCCCTAACTTGAACAGTCCTGGTTGTACTGTGAGCTTGTTATCTAACAGTTGTTGGATGGGCTTTACTTCTCTGAGAACAGTTTTATCTGCCAGTACAACTATGATAGTATTGTATTGACCCCTAAAGATGTCAGAATGTTTGATATAAGACTATAGTAGCAATATTTTAGATCCCATGAGTAGTGATTCACACTGATTTGTATTCTGAATCATCTGTTTTTCTCAACCTGTCATCTGAAGATCCTGCTTATGACTTAGTTCTACCTTTGTGAAGTATGAATTCACATTTGTTGGTCTAGCAGCAGTGCCTGGAAATTAAAGTAGAATTACACAAGCAATGGAATGTGTAATGGGTGTGATCTAACTAGGTAAACATTAGACTCCAACTCTCAGACCCACCCTAGGCCAATGCTGCATGTTCTGTGAATGAGAGATTCCCATTCATTCTGCTACTGATATGACCAATGGTGTCTTCCAGATGTCAACAGTGTGATTTTCTTGGCACTTCATTAAAAAAAAAACTATACTCATGGCAAATTGTTTTTTTACAAAAAACCGACAATTCTGCTCTAATATTTAAATTGCTTCTTTGCAGAAAAAGCTAAAATCACTATAGTAAAAACCTTCAATGCATCAGGTATGACTTATTATCAATATCAAGACTTTCTTTTTATAACTGAAGTAAAATTAAATGGCTGGTATTTATTATTTCTTTCTCTTTTTTCATTTAAAAATTAAAATCTGTTCTTAATGAATAGATATATATGTGCTGAGTACTTGAAATTATACTAAGTGTTTTGGTCTGTATAATAATGATCAGACACAACTGTCTACTCTCAAGAATCTTCTAGTTTAAGGGAAAGACAAAGCAAACAGGTCACTGACATGAACTACATACAGATAGAGTCAAGGATTCTATCAGTAGTTTTGTTTGGGAATGAGGATTGAACCCAGATGCTCTCACATGCTAAGCTGATGCTCTACCACCAAACTACATCCCTGACCCCACAAGTATTTCTAGCATAGTTAAGATAGCAAAAGAACTTGTTAACAGAAGTTCTTATCAACAAAAGAACTAAAGGATTAAATCTTGAACTTCTTTAACTGAAGAAGTGACATGCTTTTAAGTACCTAGTGCAAGAGCAGGCACACAAGACATGTTTAACAATGGCTTTTCATTAATTTCAATGGGCCAGATCTGGATTACCATCTGTTTTTGTAAATAATTATTGGGGTCTTTTGAAACAGATCTCCTTGTAGCCCCAGCTGGCCTAGAACTCACTATGTAGACCAAGCTGGCCTTGAACTCACAGATATCCATCTGCCTTTGCCTCCCCAGTACTGGGATTAAAGGCGTGCACCACCACGCCCAACTTTGTAAATAAAATTTTATTTGAACACTGCCATCCCCATTTATTTAAATATTTTCTATGACTACTTTTCTGGTACAGAGTTGAGTAGAGTAGTTCCAACAGAGACCACCTGACCCACAAAACCTAAAATATTTACTATCAGAAAAATATTTTTCATTCAAGTCTTAAAGACTAATCTGTGGCCACTTATTAGGGGAAGGTTGGGAATTATAGATAATAGCCTAGAAATGGGATTTTTTAGTATGAAAGAGCAGCAAAAAAATATACACATCACTGGAAATGGGAGTACAGGTCAAATATGAAGAAAAATGAGAAAAATTAGAGACAAGCTTAGCAAACAATGGACCAGTGGTTTAAAAACCCTTGAAAGCATTCCTACCCATCATCTATATATTTATAATATTTGTATTGCATCCATATTATAATGACTTATATCTGTAAGTAAATACATTTGAAATGCAGTCTTCCTTTTTTGGTGTGGGTAGCACTGCTGTGGAATAACATAGAAGTCCACATGTCAGGTAATTTAGGTGTTGGAATTCAGTTGGTTCACAGAATCTAAACTTTTTTATTTTTATTTATTTATTTATTTTTGTTTTATGTGTATGCATGTATTGCCTGCACGTAGGTAAGTGCACCCGTGTCGTGCAATGCCCGCGGAGATAAGAAGAGGTTGTCAGATCCCCTGGGGCTGGAGTTATGGACAGTTGTTAGCTGCCATGTGGGTGCTGGGATTCAAACCTGGGTCTTCTGCAAGAACAACCAGTGTTCTTAACCGCTGAGCCATCTCTCCAGCCCCAGAATCTAAACTTTTAGCTGAAGCATGACATGCATACACCTATAAATCATTCTGACAGAAACAACATCACATACACGAAATCAAATTATAATTTTGGTTTGCATCCAAACTAGTTTCTCATAGAAACAAGCTCATGATATGCAATGGAAATAAACTCACATTTGGGTATTGCATATATAATTCCAGTCCAAGAAGTCCTAAGAGGGACACCAACATATTGCTTAATATAATAACCTTTTACCCTTGACAGTTTATTTAGTACCTTTCAGCATGTGCCTTCCCTACTCCCCATTTTCTACGGATTTCTTGTCACCAAAAGGATGCAGTTAATGAAGAGAAGATTCTTAGAGAAGTAAACTTTGAGCTCTTTTCAAATAAAAATAAAACCAGAGACACACATCTCCTTTCACAGGAGAAAGCGTTTCTCAGATTAATCTGTATAAAGTTAGTTGGTTTTTGTTGTTGTTCTAATATGGTTCATTTCATCTCCCATTCATCTCTGCCTCCCTTTTCTGCCTGTATGGTCTGGTATCCTGGCCATCACTAACCTTTTTATTTCTGGGTTGATATCACCCACCAGAGTGTAAGCTCCTTGAGGGCAGGATTTATATGTATAATCTCTCAAAATCTAGAAAATAGAGTAAGTACTCAGCAAATACAGTTTGAATTTTTAACTTTTGTGCATGGCAGTACTGTTATTTCATGCATGCATTTGCATAAGAGCTAAGACCAACAGTAGAGTCTTCTAGGACTCTCCTACCTAGGAAAGGAAGGAGGCTCTATGATTCAGAGCTAGCCCAGTAAAAATCTCTACATATGATTTGTTTCTGTGGTACTCTCGGTATATCGGACAGAAAAGGAATTAATTGGAAATGGGACAAAGAAACTTCAGAGAAGAGTTGAGGGTCAGGCAATGATATACTGAAGAACAGAGTCACATTCCATAGCTGCTCATTTGAATGAAAACCTATTCCTTTAGTCTTTGTGGAATTCATCCAGCCAATTTTAGCCAGCCTTTCAAGATATTTAGTCTTCATTTGATGCCTTCGTTTGTAAATTTTCCTGAAAGTGTAGTGTACAAGCACAGGTATTAACATGCATAACCAGTTGGGTTTCTTCTTTTTTCCAGGAGTCAAACCCCAGAGAAATATCTGCAATTTGTCATCTATTTGCAATGACTCAGGTCAGTTCTACTGTACATTACATATTACCAGATACATTTGCTCCATAGAGAAAAATTGTTTGTTTGTCTTCTGTTGTGCGTGTGTATGCCTTTTTGACTTGCCTCTTTTCATACTACCTGGATACCATGAGCCCCTAACGAAAAAAGGCAACTTTTAAAACTGGCTAAAACTTTTTTGTTATCCAGTCAGAGACAATGAGCTGAACATGAGGCATGGCATTCTACAACAATTTTTCACTCTATTTTAAAATCCATAATTAGTACCCATAGAACTAATCCATGCCTATAATTAATAATAAAATTATTATTATTAGAAGTTACTATATACACACATACACACACGTGTGTGTATATATATATATATCCCTCAAGCTTTTCCTTAGGACCTGAAGCTTAGAAACAGGGTATTGTTCTTTGCTAAGAATAAAACAATCCAGACTTATAGAATGCTGAACCCTCATGTATACCAACTTTAATTAAATGATGATTCCATTAGTGTCCATAATATTTTGCCATCTCTTAGACTGTCTGCTGTTTTCTTTTTTTAATCGAAATGGAAACCTCTTGAGAATATGCTATTTTTGAAATAGGAACATTTTTCCTTCTGCCATGGGCCAGAGGAATGAAACAACCTCTTTTCTCCCATTGATTTGGCTCTCTTGACTCTTCCTTATTAAAAGCAACGAAAGCAAATGTGAAAAACAGAAAAATATGGTGTGGCAGGTCAGAACTGGGTTGGAGATCATGGGTAGAGAGAGGAGGAAGATAAAGAGGTATTTTAGGATATAAAGTCTTGCAATAATCATCATAGGAATTTTTACCTTTTATGTTGTTCCTTTTATAGTGTTGAAATTTCTTTGAAAAATATGGGTAAAATTTCAAGTAAGATAAGATTGGATAGGTTAGAAAACAAGAAAACTTCCCATTTAAAGAATGTTTCACAAACATTTCCTGCTGTGTGAATGTGAGATTTGCTCATGTGTGCTTTCTGCTGTTATGTTCTAGGGAGAAGGAAATATTAGCTTCTTGAGGGATGTGACTCAGTGGTAGAGTATTTGCCTAACTTGTGCAAGGCCCTGAGTTCGATCTGTGCCATCACAAAAACTTCCTGGATACATTTTATTTTCATACATCGTATGACTTCATCTCCTTTTTTATTACACCCTTCTTTCTCCCTTCTAGTAGCTTCTCTTTACTATAACCCTATAATGTCATTATTTGGAAGCATCATCCATGATTGGGGCTGTGACTAATGTCTACTTCTGTGTTGTGTCTAAATGATATTTGATAACTGAAAATCAAACACATAGTCAAAAAATAGTCATCTTGATATTTGATAACTGAAAATCAAACATGTAGTCAAAAAATGGTCATCTTGAATAACAGATGCCAGAAAGCTAGTTGAAGTAATGTTTTCCCCCAATTAAGTGACTGCATTGACCATTTGTTTTAGTGACTGGTGAAAACAACTTCTTCAGGGAACCAGGCACCAGAAATCCCATGAATCCCATGATACCCTGCCAGAAACTAGAAACCTTTGCTTCTTACAGGTTTCCAATCTGGATCCATTAAAGGACGTGGAGGTCTGTCAATAAGCTGGGACCTCTCTAGCCAGGAAGAATTAGGCTATGGGTCAAAAAATGATAGGCTTTTGGTTGTTCTGTGCAACCAAAACTGCTGTGCTCCCAGCACATTTATCATACTCCTCATATACTCTACAAGAATATGTGGGAGAGGTGCTGGAGAAATGGCTGAGCAGTTAAACACTTGCTGCTCTTCTAGAAGACCAGAATTTTGTAGCCAGCACCAACATCAGAGGGCTCACACCCTGCCTGCAATTCCCACTCCAGGGGAACAGATGCTATCTCTTGACCTCATGGGCAACCACACATATGTGACATACCTTCACACAAACACATACATATATACATAATTTTAAAAGTTTTTTAAATCTTAAAAACATAATTTGAGGGGAAGAAGTTGCCATGCATGTACAGAGAGAATCTAAATAAGCTTCCAAATGCTTAAGAGTTTTTATTTTATTTTATGTGTATGAGTGTATTGCCTGCATTTATGTAAGTGCACTCATGTCGTGCAGCGCCTGTGGAGGTCAGAAGAAGGGGGTCAGATCCTCTGACACTGAAGTTACAGACGGTTGTTAGCTGCCATGTGGGAGCTGGGAACTGAACCTGGGTCCTCAACAAGAGCTGCCAACGCTGTTATCTGCTAAGCCATCTCTCTGGCCCCTGCTTGAGATTTTTTTAAAGTGGATAATTCTGTTTAGATATAAAGTATTTTTCCTTTATAGGCTATATTAATTGAAATTTCAGTATCAATATGCAAAAGTGGAGATTCTCAGAAGACTTAGTGAAGTTGATCATATTAATCATAGGTCAAGTGGCTTTGTGAGTCATTGTATATGAAAATGGACCATTGGCTACTGGAGTCAGTTGTGTTTGGAGGAGGCAATAAAAGAAAAGTTCAAAAGGCTTCCAGTCCTGTAGCTCAGGGGTCAAACAAACTATAGTCCAGGGTCCAAATAAAGTTTATTGCCACATAACTGTGCCCATTTACTGATTATCTATGGCTATTTTTAGGCTCTCATGGCAGTAGCCAAAACAGGCTATTTAGTCCATGAAACCTTACTTAACTATCACCAAAATATTGGCCAGAGTCTGTTCTATTTTATATTACATCCTTGCCTGATTATTCAAAAGACTAGTTTTTGATACCCAAATGAAGGTGTGTACACCATGTGCCTCTGTCCCAGAATATCTATTTTGTTTCCAGATAGAATCAAAGCCCCTAGAAATACCCTGCATGACATAAATTGGCGGAAATTGAGTTTAATATATCCCAAAGTAATCATTTTAACAGTAAGGTTTTCTGATGCTTCTAGAATGAAAGCAATAATCAGTTATTCAACTAAATAATAGATTTGTCCTGTATCGTACATAGTTTACATTGTATATTGTATAGAATATGACATAGTGTTTAGTATATACTCATATAGATAGTATGTGTAGCTTCAAGATAAATAATTAGCTGTGAGAGACTGGAGAGATGGCTCAGTAGTTAACAGCACTGGCTACTCTTGCAGAGGGCCCAAGTTCAGTTCCTAGCACCCACATGATGGCCAACAACCATCTGTAGCTCCAGTTCCAAGAGATCCAGTGCCTCTTCTGGCCTCCACAGGTACTGCATGCAAGTGATGCACTTATATTCAAGCAAAACACTCATACACATAAAATAATTATGTCCTTGGGAAAGATACTAATTTGGTCATTGTACGTTAATGACAATTTTATTTACTTATTTTTATTTTATGTGTATGAGTGTTATGCCTCCATGTATGTAAGTGCACCCATGTCGTGCAGTGCTCTCAGAAGACAGAAGAGGGCATCAGATCCCCTAGAACTGGAATTATGGACAGTTGTTACCCATCATGTAGGTGCTGGGATTCGAACCCCAGTCCTCTGCAAGAACAGCCAGTGCTCTGCTCCTAATTGCTGAGCCATCTCTACAGCCCCAAAGACAATTTTTTAACTGATGAAGAATAAATAGACTTCAATAAAGCTTCTAAGAAATACTCTACTTACCTGTGTCACTCCAACTATAATTTTAAAAGGTCATATTTCAGAGGCTGGAGAGATGGCTCAGTGGTTAAGAGCACTGACTGCCCTTGCAAAGGACCCAGGTTTGAGTCTCAGCACCCACATGGCAGCTAACAAACATTCATAACTCCAGTTCCAGGGGACTCAACCCCCTCTTCTGACCTCCATGGGTATTGCACAACATGGGTATACCTATATACATGCAGGGAAATACATTCATACACATAAAATAAAAAATAATAAATAGAAAAGATCATGTTTTAAAGTTCACATTGGAGCCATAGTCTCCCAATTACCCATAAGAGAAACAAAGTTTCAATGAAAAGCAGGTAGGAATGAAAATATTTTAGAGAGCAGACAACCTTCTTTCTGAATTTTTACATAAAATTTATAGTTCATATTTTCTGCAAATTATATCAATAAACAATGTAAAACAATTGATAAGGGAGTAAATGGGGGTGAAAATAAAGGATATGATGGAACTGTTTATAAAATAATTTGGGAACCTTGTAATACATTGTATTAATCCTCAAACTGTAAAGATATACATCTCAAATTTCTCTCTGAAAATTTATTTTTAGTGTTTCTTCGAGGTGAGATAGTGTTTCAATATGAAGAAGATCACAATGTTACCAAGGTAGGCTTTAAAGACTGTTGTAATTTCCATCTTCAAAAGTACATTTTCCTGTATTTAAAGATTTGCCAAGGTTCATATTATCTGTAATTTTTGATGCATTTACTTTCACAACCAAATTTAAATATACTGTCTCAATGATTTTCTAGCTTTTTACTAAGGGCTTGAATTCATAATAATCATGATATTTTGTTATTAATTATATTTTAGTTTTTACTAGGTTTGTTGCTGAAAAAGAATGGTAATATTCAGTTCTATTGCCTGCTAAAATTGAAAATTGCTTTAAAAATTCCTAACAAAAATAGATGATAGATAGATAGATGATAGATAGATAGATAGATAGATAGGTAGACAGACAGATAGATGATAGATAGATAGATGATAGTTGTATTGAGTCTAAGAAGAGTCTTCCAAATCTAATTGTGTTTTCTACATAGAGGATTCAAATACTGTGGTATCAGCCTTCCCATGACCTAGATTTATTCAGAGGATCCCATCCAAACATGCTTATTCATTCAGCGAATATTTCCTAAACATCTACGTTTGCCAGACCAAAAGCTAGGTGCTAGAAATGTGGTGCTGACACTACCAAATTTCCCTTTTTACACTGGGGTCCCTTAAATCTGGAACCTGTCATGAAGAGAACTGTAATAGCATTATTTGGGGGGAACACTTGAGCTGAAGAATGACAGAAGTTAGCATAGCCAAGCTGCTGACTCTAACACTTAATAAAAAATAAAGGCAAACTGGCTCAGCCAATACTGTTTAGCTCATTAAAACACCTTATTATCTATGTAATTGCAATTTGATCATGTGATAGACAATATTTCACTGAGTTTGGAGTCAGTCTTTGAGGTATAGTTTCTTTGAGTGGCCAACAGAAATAACTTCTTGTTAGAGAATGGGGTTTAAAAAAATGTTGTGTGCTTAATGAGCTCTTACCTCCAACAGAATCAAGATACAGCTAATGGCACCCTTGTTGGAGTCCTGTCTCTAAGTGAACAGAAGTGAGTAATCTGCTGTTTGCTTTAAAACGTTATACAAAGGACGCAGAGCAAACCAATTCTTGCCATCTCTGCAAACTTATTATAGTCACATGTGGTCAACTATTATTCTCCTGAAGTTGTTCTCGCTGGTGTTCTGAAATCAAACAGCAGCTCCATCTGAATTGGAATTTCAGTTTTAATGCAGTTTGTTATCTAACATAATTGGTAGACAGGTTCCGGTTTGGAGTTTGTGCAGGTGTATCCAACCCATAGCCTGCAGGCCACATGTGGCTGAGGACAGATATGAATGTGGCCTAACACAAAATTGTAAACTAACTTAAAACATAATGAGATTTTTTTTGTAACTCATTTGCATGGTTCTCAAAACATACACTTTGTAGATAACAATGTCATGTTACAAAGTCTAAAGACTGGACATTCCTCATTATGTGCCATTTGTTCATGTTTTCACAAAGCTTCCACGGTTCAAAAGTCAGAATGAAGATACCATGGATCGGGTATTAAAAGACGGTCTAGGGGCTAGAGGGATGGCTCAGCAGTTAAGAGCACTGTTCTTGCAGAAGACCCAGGTTCGAATCCCAGCACCTACACGGTGGCTATCAACCATCCATAACTCCAGTTCCAGAGGATCCAACACCCTCTTCTGTCTTCCAAAGGCATTGCATGACATGGGTGCACTTGCATACATGGTCATAATACATGCATACACATAAAACAGAGAGAGAGAGAGAGAGAGAGAGAGAGAGAGAGAGAGAGAGTCTAAAAATCTAAGTATAGAGCAGGAGGAGTGACTGTGGCCACAGAAACCCTAAGAAAGAAGGTGGTTTCTGAACAAAGGCCACCTTAAGGAGCTAGCTGAATACTGTCAAATCCTCTTCTTTTCTGATCTTACTTGTAGCCACCTAGAACTGTTGCCCATTCCTTACAGCAGGACTTCTCAACCTCAGCACCGTTGACATTTTGAGCCCAATATTGCTCTGCCATGGAAAGTTGTTCTGTGCATTGTAGGATATTTGCCAGCATCTACCTGTTAGATGCAGGTAGCATCTTCCCTAGTGTAACAACCCAAAATGTTTTCAGACAGATTTCTCCTGGTGGGCAGAGACATCCCTGTTGAGAACCACTGTCTTAGAGTGAATTCTTTAACTAGATTCTTTCATCTTAACTTCAGTGACGCTCTACCAAGTTGAAGAAATAAAAATATTATTGGAGCAGGATTGGAGGAGAGGAATGAGAGAATTTCCCACAGGGGAGTGGGAGGAGGGAGAGGCAAGGCTGGAGTGCTGGAGAAGGCAGGCAGTGACAGTTGAAAGCAGAGTAAGGAATTATTCAGAGGCCCAGAATGAGTGGCTTGCCTTTCTCAGAAATCTTTGCCCCAGGCCAGCTCTTTTTCTGGCTCTCTGCCAAAAGAAGTTGCCTTGGGGTTTGCAGTAGCCTAATGAATAACATGATTGTTCAACCATAATTTATATCCTCCTCTTAGCGAGGACCAATCCAGATCTGACCGGTTAGTTTTCCTTGTCTTATAAATAATTGATTTTCCCCGCATAGCAATCTCTCATTTTACCCTGTGTTTCTTCAAAGTGAACACTGTAAGCAGTACATACCACATGCTTGATTTAATTGCTTTAAAAAAACCTACCTTGTTTTAAATTTCACATCACTAATGGTCTCCATAATGCCAATTTCTCTCATTCTATTAACAGACGATCAGAACTCAACAAAACTCTGCAAACCCTAAGTGAGGTAACTATAGTATACCGTGTACCTTGTTTATAATTATTGTTGTTCAGGAGAATATATAGAATTCTACATCCTTGGGCAATATACTTTCAGATTCTCACAAAATCTGTCATGGTAAAAGACTGAATAGACTAGTTGTATTGTTCAAATGATCAGAAGTAGGATTAATGGTTGGGCATTAGAAGAAGGCAGGCTTTCTTTTATGCAAGACCAAAAGTTTTTTAAAAATAAAATCTCTGGGGCTGGAGAGATGGCTCAGCAGTTAAGAACACTGACTGCTCTTGCAGAAGACCTGGGTTTGAATCCCAGCACCCACATGGCAGGTAACAACTGTCTGTAACCCCAGTTCCAGGGGAGCCAACAGCCTCTTTTGTCCTCCGTGGGCATTGCAGGACATGGGTGCACTTATCTACATGCAGGTAACACACATACACATAAAATAAAAATAACAAATGAAATATTTAAAATAAAATCTCCAAGGGATTGTGCTCCCTATGTACAAGTGAACTCTCTGACACTGGAGGCATCTAAAAGCAGAGCTTGTATGGCCTGAATAGGTTTCATGATATGTTAGGGATCCAGTAAGAGTATACAATGTTTCTAGGTCTCATAGTTTTGAAATTCTGCTCTTAGCCCTGGGCCATCTTTTCTGATAGTCCCAACTGTTGAAATAACATATATACTTTTGTTTATTTCAGACTTATTTCATAGTATGTGCTACAGCAGAAGCCCAAAAGTAAGCCATTTTTAGTTCTTTTATAGATAACTTTTCTCCATTTATGAGAAATAAACCATTAAGTTATCTTAATTAAACTATAAATTCAAAGGTTTACCTCTAATATAAGTATCAGTGACATTTTGGATTTATATATTTTCACTTTTTCAAAATATTGATCACTCTGTCACATTTATCTTCTTATTTTCTTGGATCATCAGTGTCCTTACCTCTGGGCGCCACTAATATGGCTGAGAAATGGCTCAAAATGGGTCAAGCAAGGTAAAGGCCAGATAGAAAAAGAAGAACCATAATAAGAAGTTTGGGAAAGGAAGAAGGGGAAAGAAAACTGGAATATAAAAAAGAGACATGAAAAAGCATACACAGGAGGAAGTCAGGTTGTCCAATTATTTGGGGTTTTGCATAGAAACCCATTTTAAGTTGTGTCCTTTGGTGGTTCTGACTGCGTAAGCCAGTGGCTCATGGTGTGGTAATCCTGAACATTCTATGGGAACTCGAGTCCTAGAAAATGGCAATTTCTACTCATCAACTATTCATTGATACTAATGATGGCCAGTCTTCCATGAAATTGTGGGCTGGAGCCCTATCCACCACAGGAGTATCGAATACAGTTCCCTTCCCTCTTTCCAGTTTGCAACATTAATATTTTCCCCACCTATATCAAATCAGAAATAGAGAGGACATCTTAAATTCTTAATTATCTGATAATCTAAATTAAATTGTTGGAGAGATTTGGGATTTAAGAGACCTTAACATTCATCTAGACTGGTTTGTAAAAAGGCTTCTATGATGAAAATCAAAATGCCTATGGACACCAGGCAAGTAGCTAGCTTTGGGAGTCAGGGGTGAGGTGGGGCACAAGATTAAAGAAGTCAAGTTGCTAGTCTTTGCAACCAAGTTGCACCCTTGTCTGTTCATTGTGTGGGCAAGCAACCAACAAACCAGGAGCCAGGTATGGGCAGAGAATCTCTTGTCTGAAACATCTGTGAATGTGAACCTAAGTGCCTCTTAGGATAAAGTTTTTCAGATAAAATCCAGACTATAACAGGTGAGTATTTACAAGCTTACTGGGATGACATTGCAAGTGAACACTGTAAATGTTCTTCTTTCCTTACTCTTAAGTTTGAAAAAGCAATTATAGGCATATAAGCAGATGTCCAATGTAGCAACATTCTCGTTATATGTAATTCTTTTACAGCACAATAAATTGTACATTCACAATAAAACTGAACGAGACAATGAATGTATGTACCATGATGGTTACCTGGAAAAGTGTACAGATTCGGCCAATGGGTAAGCTGTCTCTACCTATAATTGTTCATTCTCTTGTGACTTTTGATATCTGAAAAGTTTATTTTTTCCTGCTTTCTTATAAAGTTTCAGTATATCATCTAAAAACATGACTTTAAAAAACCTCTATTGAGAGGAGGGTTCTGTTTAGAGTGTTCAATGGATTGGTCCTAGGATATGTCCACTTATATAATTAACAAGTAAAAGCTATGTATATTTATGTGGACATTGATATTTTGATATACATTGTAAAACAGCTAAATCAGGATATTTAACATATGCATTACCTCACATTTTTTATTTTTATTTATTTTAGCCTTTTTGAGACAGGGTCTCCATGTAGCCCCAGTTGGTCTTGGCCTGGAACTTGCTATGTAGACCAGGCTGGCCTTGATTTCACAGATTATCTGCCTGCCTCTGCCTCTTGAGTGAGTGCTGAGATTTAAGGTGCCCAGCTATATATTTTTTCTCTTTGTGATGAAGACATTTAAAATTTACTCTCAGAAATTTCAAAGTATGCAATATATTGTTATCAACTATAGTCACCATGTCACACAATAGGTCTCTTTAACTGAATTTTGTGTCTTTTAACTGACACATCCCCTGTTTCCCCACTCTGTATCCTCTGGTAGCTCCCATTTCATTCTCTGTTTCTATGAGTTAGACCTTTGTAGAGCCCACTTGTGAGTGAGATCATGCAGTATTTGTCTTTCTATGCCTGGCCTAATTCACTGAACCTAATTTCATCTGGGATATGTTTGCTTCTTAATTCCTGTTGGAATTTGCTGAAGAATTATTGATAATCCAAGCATATAACCAAAAAGTTAATCATTCACTCATTAAATGTTTTTGCACCTATTATGCATATATATTATTGCCAATATAAACATCCAATTAATTATATCACTGGTTCTAGACAATTACTCTTTAAAAACACAGCCTGTTAATATAAAAATGATATACTGGATGGATCTGAACTTCTGTTTTGCTTTATTCTTTTTTGAGTAGTAGTAGTTTTTGAATACTGTAGTTTTAACATTTTTTTGAGCTTTTGTAATTTCATACAACAGTCTTTAATAAATTTTAGACCCCCTCCCCCATCCATGTCCCCCATTCCCCCACCAGATCTCATGCATTCTGCCACACATGTTAAGTCCTATCCAATCAAGCATTTGTACCCAGATGTCCTTCAACATCTGAGAGATGCCCAGTCCTAGGTGACACATCTATAGTTGAACCTCTATACCTAAGACTCATGGGACACAGCAGAACAAGGGGTAGAGAGAAAATGCAGCTCTCAACTCTCACCAGTGAAGCTTCCTTATACAATAGAGTACGATGCACACAGAAGGCCTCAACTGGCCAAGTTTTAAAGAATAAGAGACTCAGAGTGTGTATCCTTGGATAGGACTCCTATATTGAGCCCTATCCACCCATGGCTCAAAGACCATTTTGGAAGAGGGGGCAGAAAGATTGTAAGAGCCAGGGCTGCTGGTTCATGAACACAGGGAAGGAGAGGCTTTCAGGCTACTGGAAGCTTGCACATGTGAACTTGTGGCAATGGTGGCATTGAGCACAGGACCCATGCCAACTCAATTGAACAGGGGCTCAGAGAGGAGGAGAGAAATGGGTGGTGGGCCAGCCCTAGACTGAGAACTATTGGAGACTGATTGCTACTGGGTGAAGGAGAGTATGCCTTACATATGATCTCTAGATGAGCTGACTAGATGCCAGTGGATGAATTTACACTGTTTTGCTTTATTCTTGACGATTCACTTTCTTCCTCCTTTCTTTTTGTCTACATCAGAACAGTGCTGCTGTTCCAACAGAATACCCTGCCCTTCCTCACCAGAAGAGTTAGAAAAACTGCAGTGGTATGTAACAAATTTTCTGATCTCCAAAATAAATAAATAAATAGTAAAAAATTAATAAATAAAATTATATAAATAGAATTTTATACACATATAATATTTAATCACCATGCAAGCTTTACTCTTAAGAGGCTGAGACAGAAGGCTCAACTTGAGATCAAGGCCAGCCTGAACTACACAGTACTTTGAATTTCAGCCTGGGCTACATATAATAAGACCCTGTCTCAAAAACAAAAACAAAACAAAGAGCAGAAAAGCCCTTCTGGTGGTTTTAATGGAACCAAAGCTGAGAACCACTCCCTTCAACTTATCTCTTTATGGAAGGAAAACTGGGAAGTGGATGCTCCAAAATAATAGAAGACTCTGGAAATCAAATATAATGTGATCACAGGTGTATTAAATATTATGTAGGAAAGTACAGGAAGGAAATAACTGAAAATGTTTACAGAGGCTATCCATTATTGACCTGCATATATGTTTTATCTCCTCCTCCTCTTCCTCCTCCTCCTCCTCCTCTCCCTCCTCCTCTTCTTCCTCCTCCTCCTTCTCTTCAACCACCACCACTTCCCCTCTTCCTTTTCCTCTTTTCCTTCTTCTTTTACATTGCAGAATTTTGTCTATCTTTCTACAATCAGAGAACAATTGTATTTGAAAAAAAAGACATACACTTTTAAAAATATGAGGCTTCCCATATGGGAACAGAAGGCCAAATGTACCCTGGCTGGCCTGTATGGGCTGTATTTCTGGGATATATTAAATAACTTGGCTCAAAGAACAGCTAAAAGTCTCTAGTTAAGGATCTGTAACGTTGATTTGTTGGTTCCCCCCCCCCATTTTTTGCAATGAAAAGTAAAGAGGAACATATATTATTAAGTTTAACATCCTCCATTAAGTTAAAGGATAAGAACCATTTAAAAGATAGACTTTCTGGAGGTTTCAGAATTGGAGCAGAGTCCCTCACTCTTGAGGCAGCCCTGCTACCCTCTAGTGGTTGTCCATTCAGAGAACTGATAAGAAGAAACAGGACATTGAAAGCAAAGCAGAATTGGACCCAGTGTTTGGCTACTGCTGTATCATTTACAGGCTGCATAGCCGCCTCCATTCTAGCTAGAGCAGGTGCTTTTCTCCCTTCAAAGTCTTGGGTGAAATGGGGAAATGAATTAGCTCTCTGTAAATTAGGAAGTGAGTTAGATCAGTTGCAAACATTCAGGCACTGTGAGTCTTTTGAAATGCAGATTGTGATGCAGTAAATCAGGGAAGAGCCTGAGATTCTGCATTTCTAGCAAGTTCCTAGGTAAGGCTAGTGTTGCTGGTCCCTGAACCCCATTTTGAGGACTAAGGATCTAGACCATAGAGTAGTTCAATGGTTTTCAGACCTAGCCTTATGCTGGAATCATTGGGGAGATTTCAAAAACACCAACTCCTGCCTTCTATCCTGAGAGATTGCTCTGGGGTTGTATAACAGGCTTCCAGATTTTTACAAACCCTCAAATGGGATGATTCTAATGTGAAGACAAGTGTGAGAACCACTGAGCGAGAACTGTATAATCAGTGACTCTTTCAAATATATTGATTCTTAATATTGGCTGTGTGGTAGAGACATCTGGGGCACTTTGAAAACATGCTGATGTTCAGAGTGGCCTTCTGTGGTGCTAGAAATGCTCTGTTTAGACTTAGGTGATAATAACTCAGGTCTGTACATATATCAGCATTCATCAGGTACTAAACATAAGGTGAATATATTTGACTGCCTGTAGGCTACATCTCTGCCAGGAATAACTTTCAAAGGAGCGTTGATACCTATGCTTAATGACAAAAATTGCAGGTCAGCTGCTGGTGGGGGAGTCTAGGTACTGGCCTTGTCATATTCTGCTGCTCTGTGACTTCCTTGGGTGCCTGACACAGTGGATGGAGGGCCAGGGACTAGTATGAGTGACAGGATTCTAAGGCTGCCTTTTGATGGCTGAGCCCAGTGAATGGGAGCCAGTGCTGGAGGTCTGGCTTTTGCAGTCTTCATATAACCTGAAGACAATTTAATGCATTTTAAAGATACTTTGTAAAGCACCTTTACCATAACTTGACCAGATCAGTTGATATAGTATATGATTTAGAGAATAGCATCTCACTGTCATGGGGAGTGTGTCTTTGTCTGTCTTTCAAAGAATTATCCACAGAGTTCTCGCTGTCTCTGTTTCTCTGTCTCAGGGTCTCATGCCTTAAGCTTGCTGGTCTTCAACTAACTTTGTAGTCAATGACCTTGAAGTCCAGATCCTCCTGCCTCTACCTCCCAAGTGGTAGGATTCAACTGTGTACCACCACACCCAGTTTACACAGTGCTAGGATCAAACCTAGGGCTTTGAGCCTGATAAGCGAACACTGTATGAACTGACCTATATCCCCAGTTTACTGGCACTTCTCTTTATAGTTTGGACTTACCTTAGTCTCCTCAATGTAATTATCATTCCTTCTCTTGCCCAAGAGAAACTCTAACAACACATGCTCATTGGTTTTCTCTATCTAAAACTAGGTCTGTCAGAGATAGCATTGTCTGCTGTAGTTGCTCCTCTCCTTAATAACTTCCAAGACAAATAGAACATAGACAGATAGTGAGTGCTCAACCTTTGATGCCCAGGAAAGAGACCTGAGAGTTTAGAAAATACACATACTTGAGAAGACCCCCACACCACATCCCAAAACATGATTTGAGGAGAGGCCATGGAAATCTGCACGTGTGTGTGTGTGTGTGTGTGTGTGTGTGTGTATCTGTTTTAATTATTTTTCTCATTGTTGTGACAGAATACTTGACAGAAGAAACTTAAGAAGTGATTTATTTTGGCTCAAAGTCCAAAAAGGCATACTGCTTCTCATTGAGGGAGAGACACATAGCTGAAGTGTGAGGAAAGCTGGTCACATTGCATCTATAGTCAGGATGCAGAGGGAGATGAATGCTGGTACTCAGGAGATAACAAAGAAACAGGAACTAGAACTTTCTTCTGGCATCCAGTGAGGACATTCTCAATCACGTTCTTCTTTTTCCCTTTTTTGTCAGTCCAGAATCCCAGCTCATGAGATGGTGCTTCCCATACTCAGAGTGGGTTTGTCTTCTTCAGTTAAACCTCTCTATAAACACCATCATAGACACACTTGTGAGTGTCTCCTAGGCGACTCTAAATCCAGTCAAGTTGGCAGTGAAGATTGACTGTTTGCATACATGCATTTTTAAGCATTCTCTAAATAGATCTCATGTATAGCCAAGGTTGAATACCACTGAGCTAAAGCACCATTGAAAGTTTGGTTAACTTCCAGCTGGAGACCATCTCTTTGGCCCCAGCTTGATTTGTTTTTTCATCCAATCAAAATTTCTTAATCACTTACCATGTGCTAGTTACTGTTAAGGTTCATATAGCCCTGCCCCCTCACCAACAGGGCCTCAGGGAACTCGCAAGCCCCTGAGAAAAGGGAACCAAGTTAATAAGCACCCTGGTATTTGAAGTCAAGAGAAGCAGACTTTTCTCCACTGTTTGGCCAACACAACAGGCTTCCTCTTTGATCGCTAAAGGGGGCACGTTTTAACAGTCCTGCCCCCCCGCCACCTAACTTTTAAAAAAAAAATCTTCCCACCTTCTGCACCCTCCAGAAGCTTCCCCCTTTAAAAGACCCCAGATCACGACCCGGGCAGACATTTTTCCTGCCCGGAAAGGAATCTGTCCCATGTGTTCCTTTGCTAAAAAACTCCATTCCCCTGGAGTTTTATCTGTGTCCTGGTGCTTTCTCCTGATCAACTAGATTCACCCATGCCTACTTTGCCTATCAGTTACCACTATACCTTGCTATAGTATTATGAAATCAGGACAGATTTCTAATGTAATGAAACCACTTGGGTCATGGGACATTCAGCATTTCCTTCAGCCAAGAATACAGAGAATGTTACAAGATACCCTCAACGGAATGATGGATGGTATGACATAGAGCTCTAGAGCTACAGTAAACCAGTGGACCAGAAACTGAGGGTTTTAAATGAGTGCTAATTTCTCTTCCCAAAAATAAATGATGGAATGGGGCAGGATCACAGAGAGGGTAAAATGCAGACTGCAAGTGGTTGGTCCTAGACAAGTGGCCAGTCCTAGAGTGAAAACATTTCAAGTTAGTGGTCCCAGGGTGTGGGGGGAGAGTCACCCTTCTATAGCTTATTGATGTCTCAAATATATCTGTTTTTTGTTCCTTTAGTGATTTGCAGGATCCCATTGACTGCCTTGTTGATCAGCCACATGGCCCACCATTATCTTCTTCCAGTAAGCCCATGCCAGTTGCACCTCAGGCCACCAATATTTCCCACATCGTCAGTGACTTCTCTTTGGCTGAACCACTTGATCATACCCCTGTGACCCAGAACACTCCCTCTGTGACGCAGGAGAGTCGGCTTCCATCTCCCCAGCCTTCTTCTCCCCTAGCTTCCAGTTCTGTCATCAAGATCACACACCAGTCTGGAACTTCCTCTTCTCCTCTGCCCCCAATTGATCTTTCCCATACCCCACCTCCAGTGAAATCCTCTCCTCCCTCTCCCACCACACCAGCCCCATCTGTCCCTGCAAATATGGTCAGCATCAGCTTACCTCCTGGCAAGACAGGTAAATATGGGAAGTCAAGCTGCTCTGAGGGGGCAGTTGGGATTTGGACTTTCTGAAATGCAGCTGCCAGCTTGCAAATCAAGACATGAGATAATATCTCATTGAACCTTTCTTTTTTCTAAAAGATCTCACACATAGCGATAACTGGGATCAAGAATTTAGCTCCTCTTGACTAGTTCCACATAAGGATGGAAGTAGTTGCATAAGGTGCACTTGGCTAGGAGCAATGGTGTATGTGGGAAAGTCATGGAAACTGCAAATGGTTCACAGGTACCATGTGGGCTTAATAGTATAGGGATAAAAGCAAGAGAGAAAGAAAGAAATAGAGAGAATTCCAGATTCTCTAGAATTTCAATTCAATGCATAAGAAGCAGGCCTTCCTTTAGAAATCTGAGGATGGAAAGTAAAGCCAAGTTTGAGGTGTTACTAGATTGGAGCTCAGGTTGAGGTTTTTGCTTCCCCTGCCATAGCACCCCCAGGGAATTTGGAACATCTACCCAGTGACTTGTTATTGCTTCTAATATGCATTGCTCTCTCTTAAATTATTTAAAAATAAGCATGAACTTTTAGACAAAATTATGGAGTTATTATAACTTAAGGGAGGGCTCAATGACTGAACAATAAAGTAAAATTGAAATTTATTGAGCTTGGACAACAATGCCCATTTTTCCAAAGCTATTCCTATTGTCCCTTAGAAGCAACCTAACAGGCTACCCCAAAAGCCGTCAAGGTGACACTGCACCTATGCTTCTACTCCTGTGGCAACAAATGCAAAGCTACACGTGCATTAAAAAATGCACATCAGAGCATAGCCTAGTAGCTAAAAAGTAAATAAAGCTTAATGGTTACATAAGAGAGGAGTGATTAAATAAGATATGCCTCCACACAATATCTATTGTGCAACCAAGTGGGCCATTTGAATAACTGTACAAAAATATGCAGCCATTTTCAAGTCTTGATGTGAATTGATAAAGCTCCAACAACAGCTAGTTTATATGCCATGTTTACAACAGTATAACTACACATGGATAAAGACGAGAAAGAAGTATAAT